CTGTTTCAGTTATTGGCACAAGCAAGAAACAATCTTCTTACTCTCCAACTGCACATTCCAGTTAGTAAATGAAGCTCTCCTGAGAAAGAAATCCTTAGGCCTTTACAAGCAAGTAACCTTCCAAAACTATGATTGATTATGTTCCTGATATGTCTATATAAGCCCCAGCTTCCATTCTCAACTAGCGGTAACCTCTGTGCCTTTGACATCCAAATTGTTTTGTTTCATTCATTCACACACTCATTCAATGAATGTTAACCAAGACCTTCCAGGTTTGGGATATTTGTGCATTTCCTTGTATTTAAAATTATTTTAGCAGCATCCCTAGTCTATAAAATAAGATAAAATAATTTGTGGACTGGTCATATCCTAATCTCGAAGTTCTTTAGGAACAGAAGGATCTTACTCTACTCTTATTACCACAATACTTGGCACTTGGTGAGTATTTATTAAATATTAGATGACTTGAATCTTGACCAAATTTCAATTCAACTCAATTGTAATTCTAATCCAATCAGCAAAGCAAACAAAATCAGTCCATGGTATTGTCCAACCCTTCCCCCCTTCCTTTCATTGCCCATCTTTAAGTACTACCTTCCCTGGCACTAATTATGAAGTCTAATTAGGGAAAAGGAGTCAGGAGGGTGAGAGCAGGGGAAAGCAAACAGAAGCAAGTAAAAGTACAAGTATGCCATTCTTCATGGTCCAGACACAGCCCTCCTTCGCAAATAACTCACAATCTTCCTGTGCCCAACTATTACAGCATAAACACTATTCCATTAAATCCCCCACGGGACTTTCTTTGCAGTCGGCTGCTCTTCTGCTGATTCTGCCTGTTGCCTTCTCATAGCTTCCTACTTCTCTAACAAATCTGCCTTTCTTTATCTACAATTATCTTGATAAATCCTCTCACCCTCATGCCAACAGCCCAGATAGTTGCCCCTCACCCATGATACTAATTTTTTAAAAGGTTGAGTCTGCATTTTGGATTCTATATCACACAAGCCTAAAAAACAAACACTAAAACTAACTAACCCCCTTAGAACCCCGATGGTTGGCTTTCATAGCGGGGCATGATGGTATGACCCGTAAGGCCAGCCCCCCAACCCTGCCTAACCCTCAGGTTTTGGTGGTCAGGCATGGTGGCTCATGTCTGTAATCCCAGGACTTTGGGAGGCCAAGGCAGGTGGATCACTTGAGGGCAAGAGTTCAAAACCAGCCGAGCCAAAATGGCAAAACCCCACCTTTACTAAACATTTAATAATTAGCTATGTGTAATGGTATATGCCTGTAATCCCAGCTACTCAGGAGACTGAGGCATGACAATCGCTTGAACCAGGGAGGCGGAGGTTGCAGTGAACTGAGATCATGCCACTGCACCCCAGCCTGGGTGACAGAGCAAGATATTGTCTCAAAAAACAAAACAAAACAAACCCATCAAGTGTCAAAATACTCTGGTCCCTTTTCTTCAGTTACAGAATAGTTTAACTTAAAAAGCCCCACTTAGAGCTAAGAATCTAACATCTGAAATGACTCATAAAATAGGAAGGGAAGGCCGGGCGCGGTGGCTCAAGCCTGTAATCCCAGCACTTTGGGAGGCAGAGGCGGGTGGATCACGAGGTCAAGAGATCAAGACCATCCTGGTCAACATGGTGAAACCCCATCTCTACTAAAAATACAAAAAATTAGCTGGGCATGGTGGTGCATGCCTGTAATCCCAACTACTCAGGAGGCTGAGGCAGGAGAATTGCCTGAACCCAGGAGGCGGAGGTTGCGGTGAGCCGAGATTGCGCCATTGCACTCCAGCCTGGGTAACATGAGTGAAACTCCGTCTCA